AATCAATGAATGAGGATTTATTTTCAGAAATAGTTAATGAAGAAGCATTTCAACAACCAGAAGAAAACCAACAATTATTACATTATTCTACAGGTTTTGAAGAAAGTTGTGAAGCCAATGATGAATATGAAGCAATAATTTCTACTAAAACAAGAAGCAAGTACCCAATTAAGCAACATAATATACGAAATAAAAATGCTTAAAATTTGTTTTAAATAATTCTATTATTTTTAAAATAAAATTTGAATTACTTCCATTAATTTCGACATTTTTTGTCATCTTTGACATTTTCATCACTTTCGTCACTTTCGTCACTTTTGGCAAAAGTACTTATCATTTGCCAAAATACTTTCCACCCTCCAAAATACTTTCGGCACCCAACCTTGGTTTGCCTGAATAAAATTTCACAATATTTGCTCAGATATTTGTAGGGAATTAAAGCGAAATGCAAAATGCTTAAAATATCTTTATTATTATTGAATCGAGCTAGAGTTGTTATCCATAATACAACTCAATTGATTCGAATGATTCATTTTATTTGAATGGAAACTTCAAGCTGAGCAGGCTCGAGTTAAAATTTGAATTTCCAAGTTCAAGAGAATAGGCTCTTAAATTGTTTTTTAGGCGATGTGCATAAATAAAATAAAAGTATGAAATAACCTATATAACATCAAACTCAAGCCAAGTCGAGTCAAGCTGTACATCTGGCTTGGTTCATTCGGAGCTTTATTCAAGTGAATGAGTAGCATTTATTTTGAAAACATAAGTACTATAATTCCATGGTAGATCTGATATACAGTGAACCCCCCTTGGGAACATAGTGCTATTTCTTGTGAGCGTGCATTTATGGAGGGTGTGCATTTATGGAGGGTATACATAGTGTGTGCATTTAGGGAGGGTGCACTTGGGGAGGGTTCACTGTATAAATAAATTTCATATTAATTATTTTATGTGAAGACAATCCTATGTATTATCATAATCATATCTTATTGGTATATAGTACAGCTGTGTAATTTGATTATATAAACAAGTAATCATAAACTTGAGTACTGAGTAAAAAGTTGCCAAATTTGAATACCAAACACGGTTTCGTGGTTTTACATGATGGAAAAATAAAAAACCATTTATATTATTAAAATAAATGATTATTGAGGAATTATTTATTATTTATTATTTTTAAGGGCTGAAGATTCATTTTCTTAATATTCGAGTCAACCCAAGTTTGACCTTGTCCAGTTCAGCCTGAACGGGACAGCTAAGTTGATCTGAATTCTAGTTGATAAGTTGATTAAGTATTAGTGATCATTATTTTAATTATTTGTTTTATTACATATAAATAAATTATTTACCATTAGGAAAATGATCACCAATTACAATATTCATTAGTGCTGATCAATTTATTTTAGTATAGTACGATGCAAAAAGTAGATTAAATCACTACATAGTAAACAAATCTTTTTTTTAAATTCTGAGGATTCCATTGATATCTTATCAATATATAGGATTTTGAGTTAAAGACTGGTGATGTCTTTAGATGATTGCCACTATAGGACATTTTATTTAAATGATTGACCTAAAAATCATTACAAAAATAAGTCACTTTTGACTAAGTGAAAAAAACATCAGGTTAATTAATAAGTAGAGGAAGAAATGTTTATTTATTTAATTCACTTGTAAAAATAATTGTATAAAATAGCACAATTAGCACAAAATTTAGGAGACCTTTAGACCAAGCCAACTATATTAATTACAAATTTTATATCTCAATAAGGAATTTTGTGACATTAGAATTTCTATTTTCACAAGGGTTAACCATTAGAATTATTTTAATAAGGAAATGAATGTGAGAAAACAAATGAGTATGAGAGAGATAATGACATTAGATCATTGTTTTTACAAGGGTAACAAGGAATTATTAAAGATATTAATATATATATACTACTATTTTTAGAATGTTAATCATATTGTTACCATAAACAAGACCTTTTCAATATCTTACAAATTCCGTATTAATTCCATATTAATTCCATACCCTTCATTACAGTTTTAAAAAATGGAAATTTTTTACAACATACATAAAATACTGAAGTTCCGTAATTTATTTTATATGTCAGTATAAAACATATGGAAATTCCATATTTTATTTTTTATAGGGTATTTCGCGTAACAAATATTGAAGGATTTATTATTCCACAATGCTATTTATTTGCAAATTTCAATCATTTAAAAATTATATCAAATTTAATTACCAAATTTTTTGTTGAAAATTTTTAAAGATTTTGTTAATTTTTGTTTAGTATATTTAAAATGTCAAATTCAGTTGATTTTTCTGGCAAAGCTTCCAATATTCCAATGCAAGTTCAGCCAATGGAAATTTTTGAAATATCTTCAGATGAATCAATTAATAGTGATAAAACTGAGAGTTATGGAGATGAACAAAGATCACATAATAGAAAAACTATTGATCCTGAATGGATTAAATCATATCCATGGTTAAGAGTTGAAATTGTTAATGAAGAAACAACCCTATATTGTGAAATATGTAGAAATCAAAATGGGGAAACAAGATTTGCAAGAGGCACATCTAGTTTAAGATTATTAAGAATTAAAGAACACTTAAAAACCAAAGAACACAAAAAATCTGAAGAATTACTTGAAGCAGAACAATTTCAATCAATTCAATCAAATCAATTGAGCACATGTAAATTAACAATAATTTCATTAATGAGAATTATTATTTTTGCTCAAAAAAATTTATTTCATTGAATATTTATCCTGATTTATGTGATTTAATGTCACTACAAATCAAAAATCAAAAGGAGTTAGTAATCAGTGGTAAAAGCTCCAATTTAAAATCTGCTTCCATAAAAAAACCATCATCATCTAAATCAACTTATGGAAGCTATACCAGTGATAAATCTGGTTTTGAGTTTTTAGAAAGCATAGTTTCTGTTATACAAAAGGAGCTTTTTGAAGAATTGAATTTATCTCCATATTGGAGTGTGTTGATTGATGAGACAAACTCTGTTGATAATAGTAAATATCTAGCAATTGTAGGAAAATATATGGTAGATAATATACCATATATGAGATATTTAGGAATGATTGATTTAGAATCTACCACTGCTGAAAATATTTTCAATCAAGTAAGATTATTTTGTGACAATAATGAAATATCTTCTCAAAAAATAATTCATTTTGGAAGTGATGGTGCATCTAATATGATTGGTTATAGAAGTGGTATTGCTGCAAGGCTTAAAAAAATGAATCCATTCATGTCATCTAATCATTGTGTATCACATAGGCTTCATCTGGCTGGAAAAGATGCTTCAGATGAAGTTTTATATTTTGAAAAATATGAAGAAATCTTTATGTGTATTTTTCTAAATCACATAAAAGAAAAAATATTCTAGAATTGATGCAGGGTATTAATAATGAACCATCATTAGTAATATTAAACTTATGTGATACCAGATGGTTGTCTTTTTCCAACTCTGTGGGGAATTTATATAGAATAATGGATTCAGTACTTGCAGCCCTCAATGAAGGAGTTGAAGAAGGTGATATACAAGCTGAATCATTATACAACCAGATAGATGAAGATTTTATTTTAGCAACAATGTACTTTGCTGATTTAACAGATATTCTAAAAAAATTAATCAATATATTTCAATTGGATTTTTTATCATTCTCTCAATTTAAAACAGAACTTGATATTGCAATTGGTAAAATAGAGTGTGAATTTATTGGTAATGAAGATTTTCCACCTAAAAATGGTTTAATCTTCAAGAATTATTTAAATCAAAATCAACATGATCCTCCACTATTTGTAAAGAATATTCAATTGCAATAATTAATGCTATTAAAAAAAGATTTCCACAATCTGAATTATATGGCTCATTTAGCATTTTTGATCCAAAAGAAATTCCAGATGATGATAACCAACTAAACTTATATGGAAATAAAGAAATAGAATTTCTTGGTAAATTTTATGGAGAGATTAAAATCATAGATGGAGATGAATTCCAAGAAATTATTCATAAAGATACACTTAATGAAGAATGGCCTTTAGTAAAAAATTTTCTCTGTTGTAATAAACTCACAGAAACAGGTTTTATTAATTTCTGGAAAAATATTTTTGATTCAAATGAGGATTTTTCATTTAATTATCCAAATATAGCTCTTCTAGTTAAAATAGCACTTATTATTCCTCTTTCAAATGCTAATGTTGAAAGAATATTTTCTCAAACAAAATTAATTAAGGATAAAATAAGAAACAAAATGAATATTAGCACATTAAATAAACATTTAATTATTAAATTAAATGGACCTGATATTGAGGATTTTAATTTTGAGAATGCATATGAACATTGGATAAATAAAAAAAGTAGAAGAATTTTTTTTTAGAAGTAATTTTTGTAATTTAAAAAAAATAAATCGGAAAAAATTTTTTTTTTTTAATTGGATAATTTGGATGTGCGCAAAAAAATTCTTGCAGATCGAATTTCGAACACTGCATATGATAGTAATAGAAATAGGTTGAGTCAAATGCGATTAAGAGACTTGGGAATTGAGCAAATTAATTTTGACATGAGAGAGAATTTATTGTCAGTATTTTTTTATTTTACTATTACTATTACATGTGAATGATCAACATTACAAAAAAAATTTCTTTTTTTAATATAAATAAAATTTAATTAATAAAACAATAAAAATATATAAATTATTACCAAAAAATAATTTTACTTTACAATTAAATATCATTCATCATCTTCTGAGTCAATAATTGAAAAAGGCTCTGTTGAAGAAGTTGTTTTTGGTAATAAAGTTGTTTGAGAAATGGGCGTAGAAATGGGTATTGTGTGACTAATTGTAGAGGAATTATTGCTATCAGCAGATTCAACTTGATCATTGGAAGATGTATTGGAATCCGATGGAGCCTCTGGAACTTTGGGTTCTTTTGACAAAGTAACAGTAATAGATTTTCCTTTGTGTTTGTTATACATTTCATCATATTTTTGTAAAGTTGTTGATAAGTTATCATTTAAAATCAAAAGTTTCTCTAAAAAATCATTGATATCATTTATATCGTTGAAAGAAAATATTAAGTTTTTTTTTTAAAAAATAAATGACTTTATATTATTTGATTAATAATGATTCTCACCAAGTAAATTCTTTTCAATAACAGATGAAAGATATGGTGTTATTTTTGTTTGAAGATTTTTACATTCATCATATAATTGCTTTTTTTAAAAAAATAAGGTTTTTAGTATCATTATTATTATAATAATTAAAATAAAATCATGATGTGTATATATATGCAAATACCATTATAACTTCATTTGGAATTATTTGATTGTTATTATTATTATTATTATTACTATTTGATTTTGATTTTGATTCATCATTTACCATCATTTCTTTTAAAAGGCTTAGACTTTCTTCAGCAATTTTAATATCTTTTTTTAAATCATCCAAATAAATTCCTAATCCCGTCTCTGAAGATTCAGCTTCATCAAACGAATTTGACAATCCAGAAAAAGACTTTGTTTCAAAGTCCGGTAATAAATAATTAAAGTCTCCATTTTCTGTATCACCCTTCTGTGCCAATTCAGTATTTCTAACACATGCACGAAGAATGTCTCGAGAAAGTCTTGACATTTCTGCATCATTAGGCTTCACATATTGAAATATTATAAATATATATGTGTATGCGTATTTGTGTTAATATTAATTTTTTAATAACTTACTTGAACATTGACATCTAAAACACGAACACTATGATTCATCTTTATTGAAACCGCTAATGCCATAAGTCCTGCAATATCAATTCCTGGGTTAGATGTAAGGTCTAAATGAGTTAAAGTCCTGGTTTCTGGAAGATATTCTGCAAGAGCAATTGCACCTAAAATAAAAATAGTTAATACTAATTTTTTTTTGAACGTCGAAGAAATTTAATATCTATACATTAAACACCTTCTGTCATTAAATTTACATCTGATAGGATCAATTTTTTAAGAGAATCATTTACTGATAAAGAATTTCGAAGCGATATTATCTATATTTTAAAATGTTTAAAACACGTTTAAATATAATTAAATAGAAGCATATCAAGAAAGATACATAGCATACCCCTTCTGCTGAAAAACCTCCAACATTGTTCCTGCTTATATCGAGTAATTCCAATGTATAATTATATTTCTTTATTTGTTAATAGAGATTTTATTAATAGCTACTTTAATATGAAACAAAATTCTTTTAATTGATACTATTCAACTTACAAAACCATCGGCCAAATTTAATAAGCCTTTTGAATCAATTCGATTATCTAGTAAATATAGTTCTTTTAAACTTCGATTTCTTCTTAAAGCCTGGGCTATATATTGTATGCCACCCTATATTTTAGGAAATGACTATATTAAATTTAAAGTATATAAAATATATACACATGAACATATATGCATGTATATGATGTTACCTTTAAATCATTACCACTAACATCTAATACTTCCAAACCCTGTCTTCTATTTCTTGATCTTTCGGCTTTAGCCTCTTCTTGTTCGTTGAATGCTGGCATAGTAGAAACTGAAATTGATGGATTATTGGGAGTCCAATTAAAGTCATCGTAATCGCGTAACATAACACCAATCCATACAGCACCAACATGATTGATATTATTAAATTTAAGTGACAGATAATGTAAATTTGATCTTCGAATTCCGGGACCTATAAGTTTTTTAAGGAAGAAAAAATATCATCATTTATATTTTATTTTACTGGTAATGCAATAATAATACATACCCAAAACTTCCAAAACATTGTTCTTTAGTGCACAATTATCTAACTTGAGTGTTTTTAGTATAGCACCAGATTTACTATTTCCTTGTGTTAAAGCTTGTGCTAAAAAAGTAGCAGATTTTTTGTCAATATTTGTTCCAGAAAGATCAAGATATGTCAAAGTTGTAGACTACAAGAAAAATTAATTATAATCATCATTAACAAATTATTATTATATGATGAAGAACATTTATAATTATTGGTGAATAATTTACCTTTTTAATATAAATTGCTATATAATTAAAACCATTGGATCTTATTCTTCTATTATTGGCCAAATTGAGATATGCCAATTTATCATTCACAAGTAAACTATGGCATAGAATTTTTAAAGTCTATAAAGAAAAAATTTGATTGAAGATTAATCTATAGACTTTTTAAGAAAATAATGATGATGATAATAATAATCCATACATCATCTTCTAATTCACACCTCTCTAATATTAATTTTTCCAAGCCAAATTCAAGTGTAAGAACATCTGCTATAGGTTCAGCAATGTTGCGATCAATAATATCACCTAAATAAATAAAATAAGCATTTATATCGAAAATTGCCATTTGTCAATAATATATAATTATTATTATTATTATTATTATCATTATTGTTATCATTATTGTTAGAAAAAATTTCTCTAGTTATTATAAATTTGCAAACGATTAATATCCAACCTGTCAAATCAATAACTTTCAAAGATCCTCCTTGCTGATTTGCTTTCTAATTAATGAAAATGAATTAAAAAAATTATTTAAATTATAAAAAAAAATCTATTTAAACATTTACATAGTTTACCCTAAGGATATCCACAAGTCGATCGACAGGAAATTCTTCTCGAATTTTACAGGCAGAAAGATAAAATTGCATTATATCTTTAGCCGAATAAGATGTTTTCTGATCCGATTTTGGTTGCAATTGCTGATTTATAGGATTTTGGATATTACTCCATTCATGGAAATCGTATTCTTCTTCCCAATCACTATTATCACTATCACCGGGGATTGGTGAATGTGGATGTTCATTTGTTAATTTATTTACAGAAAATCGAACCCGTTTAAGAGTTTTAGGGGTGAGAAGATTGTTGTTATTTGGGGATGACGATAAATTTTCATTATTTAATTGCGAAACCTGTTCTCCTGGTAAATCATTAACATTCAACACATTTAATTTGGGGTTTTCTTGTTTTTCTTCTTCTTCTTGTTGTTGATGTTGTTGATGATTATGATGTTGTTGTTGTTGTTCTAGTTGTTGTTCCTCTTCTTGGAAATTAGCAGCAGCAGCGATAGCAGGAGCAGCGGTTGCGGTGATAGCAGTAGTGCTTAAACGTTTCAATGTATTTGAAAAAAAAGAAGCGGCAGTGGATGATGAAGCGGTCGAAGTAGTTGTAGCTGTAACGTTAACGACATTTTGAAAAGCAGCAAACCAATCACGTCTCCAAGTTGAACGCGTGCTGGGCTGAGGTGCAGGTTTTAGTATGCCTTTTTGTGGAGGTTTAGCATTTGCGGTAGAAATTGGACGTCGGTAGGGTATAGGCTTTGATCTTGCTGGTTTTTCGATATTTTGAGACTCGTCATGATCATCATCAGTCAAAGGTACAGCAGATGAATCTAACATTCACAACAAAAAAATAGAACGATGTATATAATAAACTTGATGAATTGATTGATTTATTAATAATGAAACGAATTCCATGAAATTAAAGAATTACTATTGTTTTCTTTTTCAAAAGTTTCTTCTACATTTTTATTATTATTGATTTTTTGATCCAATAGCCATTGTAAAATAGACTCAAATCCGAGACCCTTATTCTCATTTATAGCAGTTTCAGCAATAGACTGCTCAAAACCCATTGACACCAATTGTAAGAGGACATCATTCGAGTTTATTGTACTGTCTTCGTTCTCATTTTCTGTTACTTTCTTGAGAACTTCCTCTTTTTCTTTATTATTTTTAGTAGTAGTAACAGTAAATGATCCTGAAAAACCGCTTTCCGACTCTACTGTACTCTCAACATTTGCTTGATCACTAGATAAGTTTGGCGTGTTATCATTTTCTTCAAGCGAACTAAGCATAATTAATATATATATATATATTTAAAATTTTTTTTTTATTTTCTATATACAACTAATAAATACCCATTCATTGGTGAATTAAAATCGAAACATATTATATTCCAACTGAATTTTTAAGGTTTGTATGACATCCATCACAAATCCAATTTTCCGATTAAGGGAATAATAGCATGAACTTGACCGTTAAAGACATTTTTCAATAAACGAAATTTGTTTCTTTATAATAATACTATATAAAACTATGAATATATTGCTGAGAGCCATAATTTTCATTGGTGTAAAAAAATCAATCGTTTACTAATGTTGTATACAACCCTTCATTTTCCCATTATTATAATTATTATAATTTCCATGACGGCAACTAAAAGTTGGATCACCTAATATTATTGGATAAATTTTATGTCATGTGATATCTTCTTTTGTTTGGACAGTATATAATATATATACTTGACATGTATTATAGATTTTTTAAAACATTAGGAAAAATTTATTCAAAATAAACAGAAATAATTAATATACTGTATGTGTATATTTATTTACTCTATTGCTATATATATATATATTTTTCCTAACCAACCAACTAAACTAACTGAACATAATTTCTCTTACTCTATCTCACACACACTATATTATATTCTATATTTATTTCTTTGAACCATGAACGGTGACATTGAAACTAATGGTTACAGGTAATTCAACTTCCTTGCCTTCGATTTCAACCTTGATTTTACCTTTTGTATTAGTTGTTGTCCATCCATAACCAGTAGAATATTTATGAGGTTTTGCATCCATAGTGTACAAGATTTCATCATTTGAAGATGAAGAAGATTCACCACTATTTCCATTATTTGATGTTTCTTTACTTTCTTCTTCTTTTTTATCGTCTCCTTCTTTTTTATCATCAACTTCTTGTTTTTTATTTGCTTCATCAACATCTTGTTTGCTTGAAACAGATTTAGAAATAACCAATTTAAGATCTTTGGCATTAGATAAAAAATCCTTCAAAGTAGGAAGATTGGATTGTTCATTTTTCTATTAATAAATTATTATTTATTATTATTAAATATAAAAATTATTGTTATTGTTATTGCTCTACCAATATAAAGAAAGATGTAATAGTATAAGTATATAATATAAAAATACCTCAGTTTTTGCTTTTTTAGTCTTAGTAGCGCCTTTGGATGCAGTCGAGGAAGAAGAAGAAGCTTCAGCTTTTGCTATTTCAGTTTTAGTTTTAGCAGCACGTCTTGGGTTTATTTTGCGTTCAACAGTAGATTGTTCCTCAGTGTTTGTCTTTCTTTTACGTGAGGAAGAGGTAGTGTTGGCGGTAGCACTAGCGTTAGAAGCAGGTTTACTATTATCTTCAGCAACTTCACTTGTCATATTTAATATGTTAGTTTTATTTTTTTGTTGTGTTGTAAAGAAAAATAATTATTTTTTTAAAGAATAAACAACTATGTGATATTTATTATGATTTAAATTATATTATTTTATCACAATTAATTCGATATTATCACATAAAAATAAATAACAGGTGTATTATTATAATATAAATATAAACAATTTATTTATTATATTTTCTTTGCATCAAATGATAATAATCGAATAAATAATAATAATAATATATTTTTCTTATCCGTAATTTAATCTAAAGACATCATGGTATACCCAATACGTGCCACTTTCGGGTACAAGATAAAAAACTTGGGAGAATCTTTGAGTATTTGTTTCTTGGTCGATCTAACAACAATAAATACTAGAATAAATAAATAATGATATTACTATTGTTTTCTTTATATTATTTCCATTATTTCCTCCTACCAATAATTCACCAGTAACCATAACAATTATACTATTAGATGTTGATGGTTGTGCATCGATTGTAGTAACTCTATGAGCAACTTGTTGAAATGGCAAACTCTAATAATAATAATAATGATAACAAATGATAATGATAATGATAATGATAATGATATTGATATTGTGTTAAATAATAATAACGTATGAATAAAATAATATGTTAATAATATGTTAATACGATGTTAATACGATGTTAATATATTAATAATAAGTTAAATAGTTACCGTTAGTTTTTCAATAATTGCATTTACACCTTTAAATGGCGCTCCTTCAAACGTGAGCATTGAAGTTTCTCTCTGTTAAAAAATCATTTTTTTTTTTTTAATATAATAATTACTCAATGTATTATTATGTTTAAGATCTATTAATGATCTTTAATTAAATATGATTGAACACATATTTTCATTTCTATAATGTCATATTAAACGCGTTATCTCGATAACTTATTCCTTCCTTCCGTTCATTTGATTATTATTATTATTATTATTATGATCAATATTAATAATATTGTAATTACTCAAAAGACTTACGTAAAGTGGACGAAGTTCCAATCTGTTAGAGCCAAATATTGAATAATAATACTGGATGAATTGATTGGCAACTGTGTCAATATCTGCCATGTTTGTCCTTAAATAATAATATTTTCTTTTTGTTTTATAATAAATATCAAAAAAGAATATTATTCTTTTTTTTTTGTACAACTTTATTATTATCATTAAATATCATGTGATCTACATGAAAAGCTAGCAATTTTAAAGTTGTTTTATCAAAATAAAACTTGAAAAAAAAGGTTTCTCCAAAAGTATTTAAACAACAAAAGAAAAAGATCATTAAATTACAAAGCAAATGTTTGTAATAACAATTTATCTTTGGAAATGTTACCTATACTTGTCGTCGAAGATTTGGTTCAATTTTCGCCTGTACGTCCTTCTTATGTTATTAGATATCAACCTAGAAAATATTTTTTTAACAACATCGCAAAGACAAAGAAATGATTAAGTTTTATAAATCCTTTATGAAATAAGCATGGAAATATATCAGCAAGAACCAGAGAAATTATCAATCAAAAATTAATGAGGAAAATCTTGTAATTTTACCATTCATGTCGTTAGCAGCTGAAAAGTTTTACATGATTTTTTTGATTATTATTATATGCCCTTTGATGGAACATGCAATGATCCAATAATTTTCTAAATCTGAAATTTTGAGGCATTAGATGAAGATCACTCGATTAACCAATTATTTCTACAAGATGATGCTTGCGTGATGTGCAATGGGACTATTGGTATTGCAACAAAAGTGATTTATGGTTGAAAACATTGAAGTGGCATTTTCAACTCCAACAAGTATATATAAGCAAAATAATTTTGAAGTCGATGGCAAAAGTGCATCAAGACAAGAATTCCCTTTCCAGGATGCATTTGCACTAACAGTTCATAAGACCCAGGGTTTAACTTTAACGAGTCGGGCTCATTTGTTAGAAAAATTGGCCTCAATTAAAGATTTCGAACTAATCCGAATTATTAATGGACCCGAATTCCATTGAACCAATTTTTCCTAATTCAAATCCAAAAACAATCTAAAGACACTCCAAATGAATATATGATTCTTTTAAAAACACAACCACGAAGGAGGATTTACTTGCATATATAGCTGAATATCTTTGGTCAAACAGCAAGCAGATTTGGATTGACAAATTACGAACATTATTAACAACTATCCTAGATGCACAGCTTCCATAGACATCAATTCAAGAGCTAATTAAAACTGCACCGGTGTTTGCACCTTGTTATAATAATGCATGTATCAATGGAATGGCCATAGAAATTAACATCAGCATCACATCAAATCTACCAAATTGTATTTTTGAACCTGTGGTATTAAACTGGATTTTCAATGGTATAAGTAGGAAAAAACATGGGAACAAATTACACACAACAACCTGCTGTCTGATATTTTCTTTTACTCGTGAAAACAATACTAGCCAAAATAACAAACATCATAAAGAATATAGCAGAACGGTGTCTTAAACAAGAAAATACAACTTCTGTGGAAGAAACTGGTCTAGAAAATGTTGAATAAAGAAAAAGAACAAGGGTATGGCAACGGAAAAAGAGAATGGAAACAAAAGAAGGTTTGAAAGAACATGTGATAATTGCACTTGATCAACGGCTATAATCACAAAAAAAAACAAAGAAATTGCAAAAGAGAAAAGACAAACTGAACAACCTCGTACCATTAAATTCCGTTTCTTCCCATCAAAAGATCTAGAAAATAGTTTAATGAAATGACGTGATATAAAATTGATTGATCCTATCTATCTCATGAACAAGAACATTTGAATACAATCCATTATCCCTTCTGGAAAATAAATTAAAAATTCAATGACGGAGAGAATATATTGACGATGAGAAGAAATATTAATTAAATTTCCAAGACATCATTAAACGGGCACATAGTTGGGGATGTTAATTGAATATAATTAAACTGAGTTTAAACACAAATTCAATTTAATATTAACATTTTTAATATCCGCTCTAAACGGCGCTTCAAAAATGCTTACAATTAAGCTTTAAAGATTATGTCATAAATAATTTGACAGTATATTTGAAGGGCATTCTCAAGAAATTTCTTATCGTTATATTTGAATTAATAGGAATGGTATAATAATTTCGTCTTTAATAAATTATACAACATGATCGAAGAACAAATTGAATATAGTACCACCAATATGTTTTTTCCTACTGATAAATTATATATGCTAAATGAAAATATGTCTGTCGCGAGATGTACTGAACCATTTGATGATTCGAATGAAACAACGTCATTATCGCGTATTATATCCCAATGGAAAAATTGATCCTATTTGGAAATTTATCGAGGAAGTTGATGAGAAACGAATTTGTAAAGTTTATCCCAAATCCTGTCCCAAATTTACTCAAAAGAAATTGGAATCACCACAATTGTGATGCATTTTAAGCAAAAGCATCCAAATTCTTGGAGTAACTGTATAAATACATATTTAACGCTAAAATATGAATTGTCAAATGCATTGCGCGTAACGATAAAAATAATATTTAATATGTTGGCATATTTGGAACCAAACCCGTTCGAGTAAATTTAGTCCTAAATAGCACGCTTAAGAATATTTATATTACACCTGTTTTTTTTAAAAAAATTCAATCTGCTTGAACTCTAAAACTGGATTGAGCCGATCTTAAGCTGAACTAACGAGCAATTTAACATAATGCACTTCCTGATTTCCTTGTATCCATCTCATTTATTTCACCAGAATTTATGATTGAATATGGGGAAGAAATGCCACCAACACTTAAAGCTTCCTGCAATTGGTGATATGACTAGAAATTTATTCTCCCAAAATTAACAAGAAAAGCTCTTCAAATATATCACATTACAAATCTAGACAAACAATGCTTATTCTCAAAAAAATCAAAGATGTGGTTTGTACTAAAAAAGGATACACCGCAAGAAGTTGTCCAGTATGTTGACAAACCATTGGAGGCAATAAAAAATATAATTGTAAAGTATGTATGTAACTTCGAATTTATTGATTGTATTACACACATACATAGTGACACCTCGCATTAACTAATTGACATCATTACCAAGATTTTAAACTTTCTTATAAATATAAATAAATTTTATTTTTGATTTTTTTTTTTTAAAAAAAATTTTTTCGTTATTGTAATATTATAAATAATTTTAATAATACTTCCATCTGGTTGGTGTTCATTAAAATTATGGATACTTTAAAAGATGTTCCAGAATTCTTTGAAACGCAACTTGACGAATCTATAGTCGCGAGGACTGAAAGTTTAGGTATTATTATTACTATTATTATTAATCTTTCTTTTTTGTCAAGATTATACATCGAATCTTTAATTTTTTTGTTATTTATTATCAAATTATCCTTAATTAATAATTTAATTAATGATTTAATATAATTTAATTAATTTTATTAGCTACTTTTCGTGAGCTTGGTCCACCTGACCTTTGTCACATAACGAAAGCTAATGTCAAACCTGGTGTTAAAGAAGTAATTGTTGGAGAAATTGTTTTCAATTAATGATTTTAATTAATCATTTTTCTCCTTTTAATTTTAATTACTTAGGTTGGATCTTATCATTATGTATCTGGAGTAGATGCATCTTCATCAGCAACATTGGCTGCTTATTTAAATTCATTGACTTACGCTTTGGTAATATCTATACTATATCGATTGACATTGGATATATATCTATAATATTTACATGATTATAATTATAATCATAATCATGATTATGATGATAATTACATTATTCACTTATTAGGAAGAAACTCATGCATGGTTCACGAAATCTTCTGCTTGGAGAATTCGCTCTGGTGTTTATTGGTCAGCGTCAACTTTTATTTATTGATTCTATTATTATTGTCATCATCATTAAAAGATTAAAATTTATTATATTGTTTTTTTAGTTGTTTTAATTCATTCTCTAGAGTCGATGTTCGTGTTGAAGTTAAAATTCCTGGCGGTGTTGATAGTTATGTAGTAGATTTACGCGGAGAAAGGTAAATAATTAATAAATTGGTGAATTAATGAATTGAAGGATCCGTTGATTTAATTGACTGATGGATTGATGAATTGACGAGTAATATTTATCACAATAATAATAACAATAATAATAATAATAATAATAATAATAATAATAATAATAATAACAACAATAATATAATTATCATCGTCATAAACATTATATAATAATAGACATGAAGCAACAGCAGAAATTTGGCAAGAAACATATATTTCAGCTCTTCTACGTTCCATACTTTATTCAGATGATGTCAATTATAGATTGGCAGGCTTTCGTAAATTAAATCCGATTCCAAATATTGAAGCAGAAGCACAATTTTTGGAAGCTGCAGAAAATTTATTTTTTAAAGGTATTATTATAATTAACATTGTTTATCTATTCGTATAATGATAATAATAATAATAAATCATTTTTATTGTTTAGGATGGCAGTTGGGTTCAGATCCGGAAATACAGGTTGCTACAGTTGTTAGTAATCATTTAACGGCTGGAATAATGAAATATTTTAGTGAAAATTTTAGATTTGAACGAGCTGTTAATCTTTTTGAAAAATATATCCTTTAATAATAATAATATTATTATTATAATGTCAATTAATGAATGATCGTAATGATAATAATGATGATAATTATATTCTTAACTGATAAACACTGTATGCTAGAGATCCCGAGGTTGCATCCTTATTATCTCGAGCTTATATAGGAATGGGTAATTGATATTAGAATTATACATATTTAATTACATACTCGTATTTATTTGCACATATTTATCCATATTAATAATTATTAACAGGTGAAGAAGTTAAAGCAGTTCATATACTATATAACGCTTTAAGACAAAATCCAATGAGTTATTCACTTTTACATGTTCAAACCGATTTTTTATTATCAAAGGTGGATATGATAGCAATCTGATTTCTTCTTCCTATTCCTAAAACATATACACACACACATATACACGCACACACACTGATATCTTTCATATTGTTATTAGAAAAAAACAGATTTTGCACTAAAATTAGCTAAACAAGCGGTTAACTGTGCCCCTTCTGAATTTGTTACTTGGGCAAAATTGACAGAAGTTTATATTGAGATTAGTGATTATGAATCAGTAAGTAGTATTTTTGAAAATTGTATTTATAATATTAGTTATATTTTATATTTATATGTACATTTATATATATAAATATTCTTACATAATTTTTTCTTACGTGTAAAGGCATTATTGACATTAAATTCGTGTCCAATGTTTACATATAATGAAAGAGACGTTCATCGTATGCCAACGCCAGCTAAGACTCATCTTCCCATCAAACAAGATGTTTCAAATTCTGGAGTTCTCGAAGATGATAATGATCGTGATAATAATGAGGTGTTAAATATATATTATTTTTTTTTTTCAATGTCACCAAGGCTATTTATTATCTTTTAATGCTAACAAAATATTTTGTATTTATATGTTTGTTAAAAGGCTGATGTTGCACTTTTACGTCTACCTGCACCATCTCTTCGTGGCACTTTTGCAAAAGCATATGCATTGTTAACACTTTTAGTAGCAAAAATTGGATGGGATGAATTATTAAAGTGTCGATCATCAGTTTTTGTCATGGAGGAGGAGTATCGTATGCAAAAGGCTGCCGAGGAAGAACGTAAACATCAAAAAACTTACACCACTGCTACCAAGACCACTACCAAGACTGCTGATGTTACTACCACCAAAAATGAAATAGTTGAAAAGTTATCATTACCATCAACCAATAATGATAATAGTGAAAAAGAACCATCATTAGTAGTAGTAGAAAAAGAGAAACAAGAAAAAACAGAAGAAGAAAAGGCAAAAGAAGAAAAGGCAAAAGAAGAAAAAGAAAAAGAGGGAGAAAAAGAAAAAGAGGAAGAAGAATTGAATTCAATACCATCTATAGTTGTTTCAGATGATAAAGAGCTTTCTGATAAAAAAGAAAAAGCAAGCGACAACAGCAATGATGATACCAATAATGTAAATGATGATGATACTACTACGGCTTCAAATTTCTCAACAGCAATATCGAAATCAGATGATGAAAAAAATGATAACGATGAGAACGATCAACAATCAGTTAATTCTGAAAATTTGGAAGAAGTTGATTTGGATGACGATAAAACTGTCGTTACCACTAAATCACAACAGCAATCATCAGAAGTAAAAAAAAAAGGAAATTCTGATGATATTAATTCTAATACCACTGATATTGCAACTGCTAATCCTAATGGTACTAATACTAGTAGTAATAAACCACCTTCAGTAATAGAATTCAAAGGTCCTGAATTAGAAAAACCTGTTCAAGCTGCTAACGAGGATAAACCTGAAAATCAACAAATTGAAGATTCTTCAAATAAAGTAACTATTTATAAAAATACATTATATACATACGTATATTGTGTATAAATATTAAAATATCAGTATTATATTATATTATATTACTCAGGATACATTAAAAAAAGAATACTCATTTTCATTTAACAATAAGAGGCTTTGTGAGAGGTATATCTTTTTAAATACATTTTTTCTAATTTCTAAGTTATAAATTATAAACTCTAATTCATATTTAATTTAATTATAGATGGCTTGATAATCTTTTTATGGTTTTATATGAAGTAAATTTTGAAAATTTAAATATGAATTTTATTTATTTTTTTATTTATTTTACGTGACCATGTATATTCTTATATATTTTATATATTATACAACAATATAATTATTTATTAGGATTTAAGAGTATACACACTTTGGAAATCAGAAATGGCTCATTGTAAAGCAAATCATCAGTCATATCGTAAGACTGGTACCGAATGGGAAATTTTAGGAGATTTAGCGGCAAGATTACATCATAAAGTAATAATCATAATTTATTAATTTAATTAATAATAGTAATAATAATTGTAATTGTAATTGTAATTGTAATAATGATTTTCTAATCTTTTACATTTTAGAATGATGCTAAAGAAGCATATCAAAAATGTCTTGAAAATAAATTTTCCGCTAAATCATGGTTAAAATTATTGGAGTATTGCGCTGATGAAGGCGATATAGAACATGCATTATTGGCAGTGGTTAAATTAACAGTTTATCAAGAGAGATGGTATCACGAAATAATTGTAAGTGTAAAAAAAAATGTATTTTTTGGGGGGGAAGCAAATTAATAATTAATTTACATTATATATATTTTAATACATTACGTTTATAGTATCCAACTGTAATCGCATATAACTTAAACAAATTAGCAAAAAATGAAGGATTAACCAAAATACGTCACCATCTTATTTCAATGAATTTGCATCCATCTGTATCAAAAATGGTTTCCAGATATATAGAATATGGCGAATCTTTCAAGATTCCTGGTTCTAATTTTTAAAAAGTAAATTATTTTTTTTAGGCTTAATTTTATATTTTAAATTTTTATTTTAATTAAAAAAAAATAATCGTTTATTATTATATTAGAGTAGACATTAGGTGTTATTATTATTATTTATCAGTTGTTTACTGATTAATTTCGGATCGGAATGTTTTTATTTATTTGATATTTGTGTATTTTTTATTTTTAATAATTTAACATAATAAAAATAATAATTTATTAAATAAATAATTACAAAAAATTTTTCTACCTGGAGAAAATAAAAACTATCTATCTGATTTTAAGGACATATTTTTTATTCCTTTTCCAATAACTTTTAACATTGATGGTGGTGACGCTGTTCCTGATGGATTAGGTTTTTTGAAAGATTTCAATAATTTTTTTTCTCTATTTGTAATTTTTGAACATTGTTTCAATGCTAATTTAACATCATCTTCAGATATTTCATCATGAATGTTTTCCATTAACCAACTTAATATATCATATCTTTCTTTTTTAACTGTTAACGACAACAAATTATCACCTGAATGATTTATTACATTTGTTACTTTAGCACCTTTTTCCACTAACAATTTGAACATTTTTAGTGACCAATCAAATCCAATAGCGAAAAATAATGAATTTGGCGCCGAGAAATGTTCACCTGACACATAATAAATATCAGTCGGGATGTTTGGATCTCCTCCATTTTCCAATATTGTTTTGATAATTGAAAATTTAACTTCAAGATCAATAGTTTCAGTTAGATAATAAGAAAGCAATGTCCTACCGTCACGATCTATTTCATTGATATTGGTTCCATATTTCACTAATGTTTTTATAGAATCTAAAACATATTTTACCGCTATATTAATTTTATTAATATAAACGTCATCATCATCATCATCATCATCATTATTATTTTTTTGTATAAGTTTATTGTTATCGAATAAACAGTGTAGTGCATTTTTATTAGTTGACTGCATTCTTGCGCCAAAATTTGATCCTTTTTTTTTTAAAACATTAAAGATTGAGACGATATTTTGCCCAGGACAATACCTTGCTGCAATTATTAAAAGCTTTTCATGGGATTGAACAAATGGATATGGTTCTTCAGTTTCTTCATTTTTTGTATCAAGGTGAAATAATAATCCTTCTGCGTCTCCTATTCCTGCATGAAGGCCTGCATGACATTCATTAGGATCTTCAAAACCTAATAGATTCCCATAATTTTCTCTATATTTCTGTATTGTTTCATCACATCTATTAATATATGTTATCGGTTTTGAAGGCTATGATTATATGCATACGCGTGTGTTTAAGTATTTCTTTTTTTTTGTAAAAAATAATTATCAATAAATAGTAATTAAAATTTTTTTTTAAACTCACAACACGAGGACCAAAAGATTTCTTTCTCGATGGCAATGTTCTCGATTCATCATTATTATCAATACTGGCGATTTTTGTCGGTGATGAAACTATTGAATCATTTGGAGTGATGATGTATTCTGACTGATTTTGTCGATTATTATTTTTGTGATGATGGTAATTATAATGACTATTATTATAAGGAGGTGATGAAATAGAAGATGACGAAGAAGCTGCAGTTTGTATTTGATACCATTCACCCGAACTATGAGGCGTATTTATATTAGATGAATTATTTGAACTATTATTGTTTAGAATTGCTGTTAATTCATTTGAATTACTTTGTGTAATAATTTGTAATGGGGGCGGTTTTTGCATTAATGATGGTGGCGGCGGCGGCGGTAGCGGCGGTGATTTCGTATTAACACCGACGTGATTATTAGTACTATTATTATGATATTGAATAAATTGTGTGTAATTGTTATTGTGATAAGATGGTTGATTATCTATATTTATATAAACGCACATAAATATATAAATATATAATTTAGAAGTTTTAATTATCAATTTTTTCAACTTTAAATAATGACTTACTGGCATTGCTCGTAATAATATTCATGTCCGATTCTGTGTAAATAGTATTTCTATGATTACTATTATTAACAATATTGTAGTTATTAAAGTTATTGCGAACATCGAATGTGGAAAAACGACGTTGATTAGCAATAGCAGCGGCAGTATAGCGTAGTTGTGTGTAAACGGGAAATAATTTCATATTTAAAAGTTTTCCAAGTATTACACTAGCCACAGACCGATCATACGGTTCTCCAAGCCATGCACTTTCATACAACGCTATATATTCTATGGGGGTTTTGTTTATCGGTAATTCTCTTTTTCCTTTAAGAATATCGTCGCAAATTTTTTCGCTGGAATTATTGTTATTATTAAAATAATAGGCAAATGGAGGTCGACCGCTTGATAATTGCCATAAAATTACTCCTAAACTATAAATGTCCGAGGCTGTATCTTTCCTGTGATCTGGAAACCTTAAACATGCTGGATCGATATATGGAATCGTTGTAATTTTTTTTGACGAATAACAATATTTCGAATTTATTGGATACCCATAATCTGTTATCCTCAACACATTATTATTTATTAATATATTGTTTGGATGCTATTGTGATGGAATAGAAATTAATTTATTGTTATTTAGAAATTATTATTATTGTAACATCATCATCATTTTTATTATTGTTATTAGTAAATATTACCAAATTACGATGCACAATTCCATTTTCATGTAAAAATTTTATTCCTTCAACGATTTGAATGGCCATTTGAATCTTTAATCTCCAGTCTAATAAATTAAAGGCTTTAAGCAAATAATTTCCAAGTGTACCGCCATTTGCATGTTCCAACACCATAAAATATCTCTCAGAAAATGATTCTATTAATAATTTTGTTTATTATTATTTATTATATTATCATTAGAGTATATAATTGCAAATACAGTCAACCCCCTCTAAATGCATGTAATTCTCATTCCCAAGCTTATAATAAGCTTATAGAATCTCCCCTTCTAAATTCACGCTCGTGAGTGATATTAATATGTTCCCATGGAGGGTGACTGTATATAAATATATGTAATAATAAATACCTAGAGTTATTCCATAAAATCTTATAATATTATCATGAAATCTGATAGATTTAATTTTTTTCATCTAAAAAATTTAAAAAATCTTTCATTATAAAAATTCCGATGAAAAAAAACCAAAATATAATAGTATATATACAACATTACATCTTGAACAAAATCATTATATGATTGATGATAATTTGAAAAATATGGATCATTATTATTATTTAAATCAATATTATGATCAAACAAAGGTTTTATAACTACTAAGTTCCCCAAGTTTGGCAAATAAGCAGTTGAAACCTTTCCAAAAGTTCCTTCTGCAATCAGTTCTACATGTTGTAAAGAGGTGTTTTGGATTACATCTATATGACCATCAGTTATGGCTTTATTTAACCAGTGTTTTTGATTTTTATACATTTTTGTAAATGTGAAAGGTATATAAGTAGGTATATATATATATATATATAGTAAAAAAATTCTAATTAATTAGGAAAAAAAAATTTTTTTTCTCGAGGAAAATTTTAAAATGACAAATCCCAAAAAAGTTGTTTATTTATATGCGTGTTTTATCACGTGGTCAGTGGCACCGCACAACATCATCTATTTTTCATCACCTACTTGATAGAACATTCTTCCCTCAAAAAAAAAAAAAAAGAAATTTCCAAACAAAGAAAATTACTTGTCGCCAAGTAAAACTGATATTTGATTTATATTAAATATATTTAACATAGAATTGTCAGCAAACCGACCTTAATATATATTAATTATTAATATAAAATATCGTGTAACATAACTGAATACAAAAAGATCGACCTACTACTACTGGAAAAAGCATAGCGGACATTCTTGTCGATCGGATGTAGTTATTTGAAAATTGATCTGCGTAACCTGCCACGAATGTATTGCGTAATAGTATATTATAGGAAAAAAAAAAGGAAAAAAGGGTATGAGGAACAAAAAAATTATATTATCGGTGACACTTTTTTTTTACATAGATATGGCTTACATTATTCTACAGTTAAAATGATGAATTATCATTATACAACCATCAAAGGAAAAAAAAATCAATATCAACATCAACATCAACTAATAATACTATTATCAATATAATTCTATTGTTCATTGTAAAAATAAAATTCTAAATTGTAAATCATAAATTAAATAATTACTTGCTATATTATTCTTGTACGTAGGGTTGTGTTGGTCTTTAAAAGACTGGTCTTGGGACCGGTCTTTTGGGACCGAGACCGGACCGGACTGGGACCAACACAACCCTACTTGTACGTATATGATTTTTAGGCCAATCAAAATCAATTTTTATGTGATATCTTGTGACAATTTTTAACCAATCAAATGTGATCGACAAGAATGTCACTATAATGTTAATTATTATTATAATATTTATTATATATATACCTATTTTGTTTTTTTTTGTCCTTTCGTGATGTAAACAACGAATTATTCAGATGATGGTGGTTTTAATCCTATATTGTAACAAGCTTTGTTGCATTTAATATAATCTGACGATCTAGCACACGCAAGAGCCATGGATATTGCTAAATGTAAATCAACAATAAAAAATGTAGAATGTGTGTGTTAGGAAAACAAGTTGGATATCTCAATATCAATTATCAGTGCCAACATAGTCTTTGGTGATGGAAATGAAATCAAAACAAAACAAATTTTCTGACGATCTAACAAAAATTTATTTTTGGCTCAAAAGGCAAAATCATAACAGAGATTACAGAGATTGAATTATTTTATATACTTCCTAATAAACGTCGTTGGAGAAAATGGTTTCCAGATATTTTTGTAAATATTGATCAATAAGTATTATAATTTTTTTTTGATAATTTAATATAGATCTTATTATGTACCAATTGAAAGAAAATTAGAGAAATTGATATTAGTAATGAAGATCCATTTATCTCTGGGGAACAGATTTTGCAAACATTAAAATTTTATTCATGTTATTTATTATGAATTCAATAAATATATTTATTTGGTAGCGAAATGAAGGGCATTCTAGACAAATGCATAGAAGGTAACATATACACAAACGATCTTTTATACGTTTTCTTGGATAAGTGTCTATTAATGAGTGCATGCTTTTTTATATCTAGGCTTTGAATGTGATGTATTTGCAATAGACCTCAATATGATACTGTATACATAATGATTCATTTGGGAAAATTATTTTGCAATGAAACTGTTATGATTTGGGGGTGATGCCTACAGCAATTGAATTGTTATCAACATTAAAAGTCAGTATAAATGTTTCTTGTATGATAATTATAATTATATAATATCCTTATTTTCTACAAAACAAAAGGTTGTAATGGAGTCAGCACAAATAGGTTCACTATATCGAGTACAAACTCCATTCCCCACGGTTTGTGAGGTCGGCTGTGTGATGGATTTCCATGTTGAGAGGATATCCTTATCGGTCGGGTATCTATCAGAGGAGCTGTTACATTGTATAATAATATATAGATGTCTTGAGAATTTTTTTTAAAGAACAAAAATTAAATTATTAAATTCTTTTTTTTTTACCAGTCCATCTAACCACAACCATCTTATAAAACCAAAATTACAAATAATTAAATAATTATAATTATAATATACAAATTAAGTAAGAATAATAGTAATAAATTAAAAGCTCAAATATATAATCAATTATATGAAAATAATGTAATTTCCCATAGCTAAAGATATTATGGTAAAAATGATCATAAAACCCTTATTTAGTGAAATATTTGAACCAGAGCCAAATTCATCTTCATCTTGATTATTTGGATTATTTACATCTTTAGATTCTGTTTTAGGTACAGTTACCACTTCAACTGCTGTAACAATTTGAACATCTTCTTTAGTTGATGTCTCGGTTGACACTTCTTCGACATTATTATCATTTGTTGTAGTTCGAGTTATTACAACTGGAATTGTTTTTGTAACTTGTTTAACTACAGTTGATGTAGTTTGAATTGATTCTTGATTACCACTAGTAGGAAGAGGAGTAGGATTGTTAGACGGATTACCAGTGGGATTATTATTAACTGGTGGATTTGGATTTGGATTTGGATTTGGGTTGGGCGTTGCGGGAGTCGCGGGAGTCGTGGGAGTCGTGGGTGCTGTGGGTGATGTGGGTGATGTGGGTGCTGTGGGCGCTGTGGGTGCGGTTTTAGGATCCGGCAATTGAAAATCTCCCGGGCAAACTTTAAATGGATTCTTATTTTCTAATGTTGGATATCTACCAAAAAGAAAAATTATATAATTAATAAATATAATTGTTAATTAATCAAAAAACCAAAAATTATAATTACCCCATAGTAGATAATAATGCTCTTAATTTTGGGCCAACAGCTTTACCATCAACGGTTAATTGATCAAGTGTAGAACCCAATACCTCCGTCATGAGAAAGTCTGATGTTTTTGCATAAGTTGCTTTATCAAAGAAATCCAAACTGAATCCTGGGTTAAAAGGGTTTGATTGTGTATCCAAAATAATTGCGTCAGTTTTTTGAGCATCTTTTGGTAAAAAGCTAATCGAATTCGGTGTTGTAGCGAGTTTTGCTAAAGTTTGAGCCATGTTTCCTTGGTCTGATGCAACAAATTTTGCAACAAATTCGCCTTGATTTGCAAATTTTGCTCCGGGACCCCCAGAAAATTTATTAAGTTCCTTTACATAATCTTTTAAAAATTTGCCTTCACCTTGCACATAAAAATTTTTGTCATATGCGTTTTCTTCAAATCCCAAGAATTCAACACCCTTTCCCGCATTCTTTAATAGTAATTTTGGTGTCAATGTTTTTGTCTTTGCAAGTTCAGGTTGGATGTTCCAGCTTGTACGCAAACCTAAACCATGAGCGAGTTCACGTAACGCTAAGGCTGTAAGATCTTGTTGACCTGCTTCAATAGTTTTTGCATCATCGTCAAAATGAAATTTATCAGCACCAAGGCCACTGTTGATGTCCAATAAAATGTCATCACCACCAGCAGGAGCTTTTGCACAATTAAATTGTTTGATCACAGCTGATGGGTACAATCTTTTCATACCATCGTCATCCACCAATTCGACGGTACTTGCAACAGTGCCTTTGCCATATTGATCGCATCCTTTGCAAATACTTTTAAAGGATGCAGCCACATTGATTTTGCTTACAAGAGCCAAATTCTTTGTTAGAATTCCTCCAGCCTTTTTAATCGATCTTTCAACTTTACCACACACAACTTTATCAGCCAAGTCACAATTATAATTAATAGTAAACATACTATTTGCTATCAACTGATCGTCAGCAGGATTTGTAGTCGGAAGCGGTTGTAAAGGCGTGGTGGCAGTAGCACCATTACTAGGAGTGGCTTCAGGTGCTTTTTTAGCATCAGTAGTTGTAGTATTAGGTTGATCGGCTTTAGGTTGATCGGCTTTAGGTTGATCTGTTTTAGGTTGATCTGTTTTAGGTGGTTCGACATTAGGTTTATCGGCTTTAGGTGGATTGGCTTTAGGTGGATCGACTTTAGGTTGTACGACTTTAGGTGCAGGGGTTGTTTTAGCATCAGCAGCTTTACTCTTTGTGGGAACAGGAGTTACACTAGGTCCTTGAGGTGCTGGTAAAGCACTAATTTGTTGAATTGTAGCTATAATTACCACGACTATCAAAAATAATATAAATAAAATTTTCATTTTTATACTTTTTATATATCTATTATAATGTATGTATGTATGTGTGTGTGTGTGTGTGTGTGTGTGTGTGTGTGTGTATGTTATAAGAGTGTGTGCGTGTTATGTGTGAATGTGTGCAATTATTGTTCTTTTTACTTAATTAAGAAGAAAGGAAGGGAATTAATGGAATTTTTTGTAAAAAAAAAGTTAATAGGTATTTAGCAAAAGAAAGGTCGAATTATTGAAGAAGAAGGAATGGAGGAGTTAATGGATAGATAAGGTGGATGGATGAATTAGTTCTTTTCTTCAAGTTAATGTTTCAAAAATGAAAAAACGCCTTTTATAAACTTTACGCACAGCGTCAAGTATGAAACACCAATTAAAAAAAAAAAAAATTTATACTTATAAAAAATTTTTCTTCAAAGAATGTGAAGAAAAAATTTACGAAATTTATGGAAAAATAATAATGGAGAGAAGGAAAAGATATTTAAATAATAAATTATTTAATATTTAGTGTTAATTAATTAAATATGTCAAACAGTGCTAAATTGACAACACAAATTAAAACAATTAACATTAAACATTTTTCTTGAGCGACAAATTTGTGTTACAGCCGAATAATGGGGTTTTTTCGGTCTTGTTTCAAAAAATCACTAATTTTAGATAATAAATAATCCATGTCTATACTGCTATGTTATTATTATGTATGTAATCTATGCGCTCCAAATTTTGAATATTTTTTTATTATAACAACAATTTATAGTTAAAAACATTGAATATGATGATGGTAATCGTAATAATATTTATTATATAAACATTCTGCGAAATTTTAGACGAAATTGAAATATTGCTAATGTCTGTATTGTTTGGAACTGTTTGTGGTTTATCTGTTACAGTTGACTGCGAGAGTGTACCTTCCTGAAGTGTATACCTAAAAATTTATTATTGAAAAAAAAAAACCTCCGTTGAAAAAACATTCATAAGATTGCAAATTATTTAAAAAAAGAGAAGAAGGAGATATTTACCCCAACGTTTCCAATAGCAATTTTATATTTGGACCTATTGGACCTCCTTGATATCCACCGTTAAATTGGCTCAATGATTCTACAGTGGCACCACGAATTGCTCTCCATAACATAATCAAATCTGCAGTTTTATTAAAACTTATGGCACTTAAATGTCCTAACGTTGAACCAGGAGTATAAGGTATCGCAGTTTCTAACATAATTTGTGTATTAGTGTGTGATAAAAATGCTACGTCTTGAGGTGTGGTTGCGGCCGTAAATATATCTTTGGTTATCTGGTATTGGCTTGAATTTGTCCATTCAGTTACAAATTCTAGATAGCTAGGATAAGTTTTATTGATCCCGGAAAACTTATTGAGCTCCACAGTGAGGTTGCTCATGCTTGTAACATTCGTTGGTGAACCTTGTTGTAGCAGTATCATGTTTTTATCAAATACTGTTTCAACGAATCCAAGCAGTTTGAATGATTGAGTGTTATTTATGACAACTGGGATTGGCGATAAAGCAGACAGACTAAAATGATCTCTCCATGTATGAACAAGTCCTAAACCGTGAATAATTTCATGCATTACCACCAATACAAAGTCTACTTGAGTTGCTCCGATTGGTGGATCTCCTTCAAACCAAAAATTTGCTCTTGTACTAAATTTATTTATTCATTCAAAATATATATGCGTATGTATGCACATGTGTATGTGTGTATGCGAATGAGTGAGAGAGAGAGAGAGAGAGAGAGAGAGTGTGTGTGTGTGTGTGTGTGTGTGTGTGAAGTGAGAAAATAAAAAAATCATTACCTAAATCCTGCAATAATATCAACACTTAAAAACTCAGGTGCCTCAGGTAAGTTTAATTGTTTTACAAGTGCTTGAGGATAAAGACGAGTAATATTATCAGTATCATTTAATGGAATAAATCTAGAAGGACCGGCACTGCCTTATGTATTAATTATTAAATATTAGGAAGTAATCATAATTATTAATTAAAATTGCTGATTAATTATTATTATTACCTAATGGTCCTACTTCATTTCCGGTACAAGTTGGACATAAGTCACCAAATACAGCTTTTAAAATTATGGGTGCCTTCAATACTAAAAATGTCGGAAAAATTTTTACTGCTCTATCAAATCCTAACTTTGCATTATTACAAATTGTTTCGTTAGAAACTCCGCATGAAAATTGAACTTGAATTGTATTTGCAGTATCGTTTACTAAATAATTATTAGTTAGATCATTATTCTTGACAATTTTACAATCGGATTGTGTTCTAACCATTGGATGTAAAAAATCAGGCATGTCATAACATGTTTCGGACAATATTAAATTACTAAAATTGATTATGACGACGATCAAAATTAAAAGAGCGTTCATTTTTCGCTATTTTAATATAACAATAGTTTTATACTTTTTTTTTTTTTTAAAAAAAAAAAGAAAAAAAAAGGTGAAAAAGAAGAGCAAAAATAATTAGGCGAGTATTTATTTTATTTATTTATTTATTTATTTATTTCGATAATTAAATTACTTGAATGATTTTTTGATTTTAGAAAAAAAATCTATAATTACATAATTAGTTACATCAAAGTTTATTTCACAACAAATTAACCAACTTGCTTATTATTACACAATGTATCAATTTAGATTCTTTTTTTTTTTCTTTTTCAGCCAATCCAAGGATCTACAACAAGGGTTAACCTCTTACTATTTGAGACGTCGATCCTAAGGTTAAACCTCTTACCGGTAAACCATAACCCAATCTACTAATTAAAATTGGGTTTACACATAACCACCAAACTACCCAGACACCCTCTGTTAAAAAGGTTGAACCTCATGTTTTGAGAATGTAGATCCTTGGATTGGTTTTGATAATCCAAATTACTGATTTGAGTACCACCCCTTGCACATTAGGATTATAGCAGTCAATTTTGCAGAGAGATTGGGGGGGGGGGGCATTCAGATATTTATTTTCTGGCAATGATTTGATGAAATTGTCGTTGGTTGCTTAATAAATTATTTATTATTAAAACTTACAATCTCCTTATTTTAAAGTATTTTTGTCGGCTATAAATAATCAAATTTTTTTTAATGCCTTTAAAATCTGTTTCATTGAAACTTTTCTTCAAAGAAATAAATACAAAACAATCAAATCTAGCCACACCGAATGTATAAATTAATTAATTAATATTTTTCAAAAACATGCTGATTATGGGTTTAAAGTTTTCTTTTGTTAACAACTTCTTCTGCTTCTAGATTATATATGAAGTGAAGTTGTTAAATTGGATCATCGAAAATAATTTTAATGATAATACAAATTAGGATTCAAAAAATTTTTTTTTTGTTAATAAAATTCATGATTTCTATGTCACTTGCTGGTTGAGCAACTAATCGTCTAGGTAAATATTTACTGCCACCCATACTTGCCCATAAATCAATTATTCTATGATAATATTTTCAGTTTCCAAACCTTTACAATAACAAATAGAGAATTAAAAAATAAAGAAATAAATAACCTAACAAATTATGACAAATTCAAACTGCATACATTTTGTATATTCTGAGGTCTGTTAATTGTATAAAATAATCTGTAAGTTTTAATTGAATCTTTTAAGAATTCTTTTCCAAAATCTAAAGAAAACCAAGTATAATTAATGAGATAAAAATTAATCTGTAAGGCACTCTCGCATCTTTATATATAGATGCCAAACTCTGCAGAGCGGTTGTCCACTTGGTTTTAGTATCATCATATTTTCAATTATTTCGATTTTTGACTAATTTCACACTTTTTTGTGCGCTTCGTAATATCAGTTGTTGAAGGATTTATACAATGTGTATACTTGGCACCGTAATTCAGTAATAATTACGGGATCACTGTTCTAAAAATTAATTATTATTACTAAATAATACTACAGCAAGAAAGTTTGAAAACTGTAATTCCGTAAAGATGATTGGTTTCGTAAGTAATTGTTTATTATTATTACAAAGAATTTGTGCATCGAGAATCAAATGTGCCTGATTGTTAATACAAAATTTTGCAGTTTAAATAGAAGTAATTTCAATTAATGGCTTATAATAATAAAGGTAAAAAATTATGGCTTAACATTCAGAAAGCCAATGTTTATCTAGTCGCAAGAAACTTTTATTTTATTACTATTATTGTTATTATTATTATTATTATTATTATTATTATTTACAGTTTCCCCATTTGTATGATGTGTGATGTAATTATATTTTTCATCATACTGCTTAGACAGCTACCAAAATTATCAAATACAACTGCTGAAAGATTCTATCAGACTCGTTTTAAATGATGTATATGTCCTATAAATTAATATAATGTGGTTCTATAATATTCTGGCATAATAGAGATCCACTGGTTAAACCGGTTAAACTCTAATACTGTTTTTTTTTTCAACAAATTAAATGAAAACATTTCCAAGAATTCTACTATTTGTAAGCATTATTATTCTAACATGGACGGACACACAGATTTTTGACAAATAAACAAAAAAGTGATTCGGATGCAATTTAGAATGATAAATTAATATCAACATATTCAAGTATATTTGGCTTTGTTAACAGTACAACAAAGAATCCACCGAGTGATTGGTTACATCTTTGTATTTTGAATCATCAATTTTATTAGTGTCAAATGATTTGCTATTAAGTGCCATCTAATTTCCACCCTCTTTAGTATTAAAGCTTGGATCATAAAGCTTTGTTGATATTAAATTGAATTAAATTATTATATACAAACAAACCACCAGAAGTAATATAATAGTTTAGAGTCCCAGTCGATTAGATAATTTACTTCTCAGTAAACTGAGAGTTTTTGCAAGAGCACAGTTTATTTATTATAAGAATTTAAGTCCTTAAATACACAAATGCTTTTGAAATGCTAATTAATTATTTGCAAATGGTTTGTTATTCTACAAAGACATTCTACTTGGCATAGTAGAAATTATTCAAGGACTTTTTTGCCTTAAAAAAATCCTACTTTATGAAACATAAATTCTTCCTTCTTATAATAAAGTATGACTGGTTAAATATACTAATGTTCAAGGATTTGATAGGCCAAGGGTTTCTAGGTCAGTCAGCCATAAAATAATAGGATATCCGAATTGCTATTATTTGAACAAATAGGATATCCACTCTAAGTGTTTTAGGACGATTAAGTTCTAGATAGTCAACCATCTCGTGACTTAATTCCATCAGTTTTAAAATATTGTCAATCAAACATTGGATTTTTTTTTTTTTAACATATCAGGAAAACCTGCCAGACTAAAAAGGTAACGAATATGTATATGAATAAATGAATAAATGAACGGATGAATGAATAATAATAAAGAACAAAGCATTTGGAGAATAAAGTTATTTAATTGCTGATAGAAATTTAGAATAAAAAAACCATTGTGACCCAAAATGAAGTGGTGGATTACAAATTTAAAACTTTATAAATTTATTCTTTATAAAAAAATGAAAAATAAAAAAAAAATCTTACAATTGTATATTAATTGATCATTGAATAATTGATTATTCGCAAAAGAGATACTATAAATGTTTAAATATCACATTGATTAAATGGTCCAGATTTAATTTTGAAAAATAAATTTATTGATTATATAACAAAATGTGCGCATTTTTATGTAATACAAACCTGCACTAAATTGGTTCCACGTGATGTGTTGTTGAAAAGTGCTATATATATCACGTGGAATGGTCATAATGAAAATTATTATCTTTGGGAATGTCATTTTAACAGGAGTACCTTGTATTCCAATGACAATACTCACTTACATATTTTTTAAGGAGAATGCATGAATGTCCGAATATGGTACATGATCTTATCTAATCTACGCCTTTGGGTCTGATTGCCCAATTGATAAACTATTTCTCTCTGTATATAACGAACTGTATCACAATAATAATTTTATTTTTTATTATTGAAAGACAAAAATTATCTCAAACGAGTAAGACTAATAAATAAGAAGAAGCTTTGTCTGTTCCAAATAAAGAGGTTTTATTGGCGATAGAAAAATTATATTTTGTATATTAAAACAGCAATCCTGATGATTTACAATAATGTAGGAATTATTAATATTAATAAAAAAGGAAAATCAATTCAGACAACTTTTTTAAGTTATTCATTATTATATAAAAAAAACCATTTTCTATTTTCATTTATCATTTTTTTAATATTCCATTTATTATACTTTTATGTTTATTCAAATTTTATTGATTACAATTTAATTTTCTATATAAAATTTTGTCCGTGTGATGACCGGCAAAATGATGATGATCTAACGTTATAACGGTCATTTTCTGCTGGAACAGGAGGTTCGTTATAGAGAGCGAGTAAACTGTATATTGAAAGTGAAAAAATAAAATGAAAATTTATTTTTAAAATTATTTCTGAAAAAAAAATAAAAGTGAAAAATTTGATTAGTTTACGATTTTATTTTATTTTTTATTTTTGGAATAATCTTGTTATTTCTTCGTTATTTTCATTAAACCATTTTTCTGATTCAGCATTAAAATTTGGAGCTAAATCTTGGGATAAATCTCCAAGAGGATCGTAATTATTAATAATTGGTGTTGGTGTTGCTACATTTATTGCAGCGTTTGTACTTGAAATAAGTGCTGCAGCTTTCAAATATTGTTCGTTCGTAAATGAAGGAATATTAATATTAAATAGTCCAGTCGGTGCTGGCAAACCGTGCACTAACGAATTACAGTATTGTTCTAGATCTTGTGAATTATCTCTTCCACCATAGCTATTAATAGCAAGATTAATAGGATCAAAATCAGTGTTCGTAACGGTGGTAATCGTAGAATTAATAGATATATCAGTAATCAATGATGCATTTGGATCAAAATCATAATTGCTAAAGTTTCCAGGTTGAGTTTGGGGAGAAAAAAAATCAGAGTTGAATTGATCGAAGTTGCTAAAATCATTTAGCGGATTCTGAACGTCATTTCCAAAGGCAAGGTTATTATTGTTATTGTTATCACAAGTATATGGAAATGCCAAGTCGTGAATATTGGAAATTGATGAATCTCCATCAGAATCAGCACTGCCTTTATTAAGTTGTTTAGTTAATTCTTTCCGTCTTCTTCTAGCTTGTCTAGGTTTTTTCTCGGCTCCATTATTTCCATTTTTCTTTTTCCATTTTCCCTGACCATTAAGTAAACCCAGGGGACGGCCACGTACAATAGTTGGTGGAATACGTTTGCAAGCAAAACCTTTTTCTTCGCAATTCTTGCATGAAGGTTCATGATCATCACACTTTATGTGTCTTTTTTTACAGCGAGAACAAGCGTTTGTGACATATTTCCTTTCATCCTCTTCGTTTGCATCATTCGCTGTCAACGTATCAAGCGCTTCGATGATGATTGCTGGATACTTTGTTCCTATATTGTTTTCAATTTCGATCAATGAATTATTTAATTCATCTGTATTAAATAAACCTTTTAATTCTTTTGACTTAGGACTATAATCATCTAATTTTCTGCTTGAACAAGATGTCAGTTCATCACTAATTCTTTCGGTATATTTTCCTATACTATTAGCGCTAGAATCTAATCATGTTAATATAATTAATAATAATTTAATAACTAGCAAATTCCAATCGATGAATTCAAATCACCTTTATTATTTAAGATATCTTCAGATAACATCGAATTACCAGAATCACACCATATTTTTTTTTGGTATACATGATGTGAATCACTGTCATTAGAACTACCACCTCCATCATCATTATTATTAATGCTCAAATTAAAATCAGTTTTTAAATTTTCATCTATATCATAAGATTCTTCAGTTCGACCATCTAATATTCTGCTTGTATTATATTCAAATAAACGCGGTTGGTATTGTTGATCGGATAATTTGAAAATTCTTTTAATTGAATTATTATCAGCTTTATAAACTTTTAATTTATTTTGAGCATATATACAAAATTCTTTGCGAACATCAGGAGTCAATTGAGAATCATTAGCCTTGTCAAATGGTCGATTTCCTGCAAATATTTTCCACTCCGGCATTCCAACACTATAAATATCGGATTCTTTTGTGGAATTTTTCTCTTGAAAAATCTTTGGTGCAATATATGGTATAACCCCATAGATTTTAGTTGATGACATATCATAAACTGGTACACACAATCCTAAATCTGTAATATAACAATTGCTATCTTGTATTAATATATTATCATGACTTTGTGGGTGCAGCAGATTAATACAATTTTCGCAATATCTGCCCGGGTATCTTGTGAATTTACACTTTTCACATTCTACTTTTTCTTTTTTTTCTTTTTCTAAAAGCTCTTTATTTCCTTTATCTATTTGTATAAAATTTTTTTTTAGATTAGGCGTGTTTGCCTTAGCATTACCATAAATTTCATCCACAAATTCTTTTCTGTCTGGTGATAATAATCTTTCAAATGACATTTTCCCTCTGTAAGTTTAAAAAATTATTGTTTAAGAAAATTTTAAATTCAAATATCTGAATAATCGTGTAGTTATCCGCAAAAATATCCGCAATTTTACGCAACATCATGAAAATATCCAATTTTATCGGTGATTTAGCGATTGCGGATATTTTTTGCGGATAACAAAATTTGTAACCATCCAAATTAAATGATATATGTCTAAATTAATGTAATCGATATGAAAGATAAAAAAATAAACTAATTAAGGATAAAAAAATTCAAGCGATGTCAACATTATGAACGCCTTTTTATCAGAATAAAAATCTGAATATTCTATTGTATAACCAACTTCTGATCTCGCCAAAATTTATAATGAATGATAAATGATAAACGATATAAATGTATCCATCCGTAAACTGCATTGAACTCAAATTAAGCAATTAATCGTTTCATATACTGCAACTGGAACTGTTTCTTACTGCGGTTGTACTAAATAATGCTCTGTACATTAAACAGCATCCACAGTACATATAGCACTCAAGACCAATCAAAGTATACACAATAAATTACTGTACTGGGTACTAGTGGTAATCCTTGTTGTGCAGAATGGGTTAAAATAGGCTATAGGATAGTACTTTCTGAAAAATAATTTAATTTGTACATTGATTTAAATATGATTCTAATTCACCAGTAAATTTATTAATATTGTCTTTAAAAGTTTCATCATATCTAATTTCAAACCTTTCGAACAACATATTTTTCTTCCCACCAATTGGCACTTCACTTGTATTTTTCTTCTAGCATCAAAACATGGACTGTTTCATCTATTATTTGATTTTAAAATTACAATTGAGTTCAAAAATTAAAAAATCAAAATAATTTTAATGATATCTTCCAAAAGAAAAGGTTAATCCAATCTAGTGAGCCTGAAGGATATGAGACTGTAAATTTTATTGACATTGCATTTGGGCTTTTTTTCTTGTTGAAGAGCTTTTAAAGTCTTTCGTGTGTTCATAATCTTTGTGACCCAAAAGTGCAACAAGAATTCATAACTGGTCGAATTATCTAGGAGATTTTCAGTATAGTGGGAATGGTGCCTAGTATGGTTTGCAAGTTCAAGATTTTATATAAAACCTTTTTAATATAACAAGTTACTATACATTTGCATCACTATGGTCATCATGACCATTATTACAAAAGGAGAGCTTAATATAAGGTAGTTAGAGAACTTTCAGACTTGTTATGTGTAAATTTCAATCAGGTTATTAATCAGGTTATTTGCAGGCAAAAGTTGTTTGGTAGTGGAATTTGGGTTAAATTTAGGCCTTTCTAAATTGTGATTTATACCTAAAGATACATCCCAATACAACTTGAAAATAGCTCAAGGTGAACCAAACCTTCAAATCCAAAAGATTCATTAAATCTAACACCTAAATTTAATAAGCTAGATTTAATTTTTATTTTTCAGGATGATTTTTAAGGAATTACAATTGTGTACAATCAGGAAGGAGAAAATAAATTTATTCATTTTCCTTAAAGGTTTAATTTTGCATGGTCTTAATATCATTATCCTCTCTTTGTAAATTTTAAGAGATAGTTACACTACTGGAAAATGGACAAAGTAGGGTATAATTAATTTTATAAATTTAAAAATAAAAAGAAATACATGTCAACACCAATTGCCTCCATTGTTTAATCAAACGAATTGAACAGCAAAAAGAAGGCAATTGTAACCTGAGATGAGTGTTTGCAACTTCTCCATCTAGTAACTTGAAAGAAGAAAAGAATACTAGTAATGAAGAAATCAAAAGAGTTTGAAAGAATTTGAAAAGAAGGTAAGAAAACCTTGATATTGGTAATTTTTTAGTTTACTTTCCTTTGGGAACATGTGTGAATGTCACAGAATCTTGTGTACAATAAAATGGGGTAAAAGAAAAACCTGGTACTTACCTAATTTGGACTAATTAACATAATGGTTCACTTTGTCTAATTTTGGATTAAATGAAAAATGGGAATACAGTATAACCTTGTTACGGAACATATAATAATAGAATTTCAACTGTATTAATTATAACACAGATTTTCAATAAAAATTATAATAATGGAATTTACCATCCAACTCTATATATCAGGAATTAAAAACCCTTGTACAAAGTTTCTAAAACTGGATATCCAATATTATACGTTCAAGATCAGAGGAATATTTTTGTAGAATAAATACTCCCAAATAGAATGTCAAGAACAACTCATCACAAAACAATAGGCACAAATATAATGATGGTATTTGAATGGAGTTGTGATAAAATAAATATGTGTTATTATTAAATTTTATAAATACAGTATTATGGTCAATAATAATTATAACCATATTATCATCATTATTGTTGTTGTTGTTGTTGTTGTTATATCGATGGCTTGCAATATCATTGTTGATTAAGTAAAAATTGGTTTTGGATTAGAATTTCGTGTTGTAGAAGTTGTTGTTCACTCGGTATCTCTATAATATTTTCATTCTTTTTCCTTCGATATCTTATAATAATAAATGATGCCGCCACAATTATTATTAATCCAGCTAAAATTGGAAGTACTATCACTAATATTTCAACAGTAATTTCTGATGATGATGATGTTGGTGATGTTTCTGGTTGTGATATTGATGATGCTGATGGTGTTGGTGGTGTTGGTGCTAAATTTGCTTCAGATGCTGAATAACTTGATTTCCAACTATAATCTTTAATATCAAGTATATGAATGTCTGCACTAGATGATTTTGGATTTGTGTCATTATTTGTAACATTCCCTATATATATATGTATGTAATTTTATTTTATATTAATAAATTTTAGGTTGGAAAGAATAAAAATTTGTTTTTAAAGGAAAAACTTACCAAAACTTATTATCATTTGATTTCCAATTAAATTAGCTACATGCATTGTTAGAGGTGGAGCACGATTATCAAGTGAAAATTTGGGTGTAGACCATTGGAAGGGATTTGTGCTGATGTCCAGTACAAGAAGTTCAGGAAATGCTGTGGTTTTTTCTGGATATCTCATACCACCATAAACAATTATATTTGTATTATTTGCTGTGTATGCATACATTGTGATATTAAAAAAATTGTTTATATTTTCAAAAAAATTAAAATAAATAAAATTAATTACCTAGTACTGCCGTATGACCATATCGAGGTTGAATTGTTTGTGAACCAGTGGTTGTCATAATTGTCCATTGTAAATCTTTTGTATTAAAAATTTTTATCTACAAAATAAACATATTTGAATAAATAAATAAATAAATAAATAAATAAATAAATAAATAAATATATATATATATATAAATTCAAATTATAAAGATAAATGCATACTTTATATATGTCAACTTCACGAAGAATCAGACCGCTAGTATCATTTGATTCTCTTCCACCGATAATTACAATTCTACCATCAGGTAATAAAGTTGAAGTATGATCACAAGTTGGTAATGGTGGATCAATTGCAGAGACTCGACCCCAAGTCAGATCTGCTGTATTCAAAGTATATATATCGTAAAAAATGATAAAGTTAGGAGATCCAGTAAATTCATCTGCCAATCCACCAAAAATATATAATTTTCCTTTATCATCCACCACAATACTGCTTTCTCGACGATTCATGGGGATAATTCCTGTTGTTCCTGGTGTATACCAAACATTTTTGTGTATATCATATGCATAAAGCAAATTGGTGAAATTATATGCATTGGAAGTTGAACTGACCATAATTCCACCAAATAAGAATATTGTAGATTTGTTTGTCCCACCAACAGCGCCTACGCCCCAAGCAGTTCTTACAGGTATTTTATCACCATCTACCCATGGTACCTTTGTAGCATCAAAATCTTTAGTCAAATCTACATAAAATAATGAATCCGTTGAAGATGATATTCCTGCACTAAATCCTCCAAGAACATAAATTTTATTATCAACCACTACGCTAAAAGCTGCGTGACGAGAGATACTAGAGTCTGAAAATACATTTGTAATAATCAATATTACAATAAATAATGAATGTAGTTTTCTATCTTTGAAATTTAAAGACATTTTTTTTTTTTTCAAAGTAAATAATTAAATGAATGTGATATCGCGGACGAATTGATTTTTTTCTCGTAAGGATTAAAATTTTTTATTTTATTCGTTTGAAAAAAAGCGAACACACTTATACGAAAAAAAAATTCACATATGGCTGTACCTCCATATAAAAATCCCGTTGGGAACATAGTAAATTTTTCTAAAAATGTTCTCACAGAGGTTGTTCTTAGATAGAGGTATTTTTCTATTTATAGTAAAAGGTTCTCAAAATAGGCGTTTCTATTGAAAGGTTTTTTACATAATGTTCTTATATGGAGTTGTATTTGAAAATGTTGTTTGAATTGATATTTTAAATTCAAAAAAGAGATTATTATTGATATATTTTTGCTAATTATAGTTAACAAGAATTTGAACAATGTGCTGCACGTTCTTGATCAAGAACAAATATTTTATTATTATGCAATGGATTATAAAATTGAAAAATTTTTGTGTAATCTTATTTTTATTATCCACGTCTTTATCTACAAATCACAACAATAATAACAGTTTCTTATTGATCTGTTCCTTCGGAAAGACTGTTGCGATCAAGTTTTGTAGTATGTAAACTTGAGATTAACATATCATTTATTTATTGTGGTGTTTATTACTAAATTTATACAATGATGACAACGCTACTATTACTACTACTACTAATACCTAAGAGTAGATTATTTCATTGAACTCTAATTTCCCATTTATGCACACAGTTTGTAGATCTATTCAAATAATGCGAGATTATTCTTCAATATTGTTACTATTACTATTAAGGTTTCAGAATCAGCAACGTGTTGTTGCCACGTTCTAGAAAACATGTACATGCAATGCAATGTTAATTATAATAAAAAACAGAATATTCCATTTCTAGATCCCATGACCGCGTTGCAGATAACAGATTTAATTCAAGCTTTTTTTTTTTTTTTTTTTGAAACGTAATAAATTGCTTAATAATTATCCATATGCGCTAATTTTGTCGTAGTACAAATTTAC